CTTCCTTCCTTCCTTCCTTCCTTCCTTCCTTCCTTCCTTCCTTCCTTCCTTCCTTCCTTCCCTTTAAATGCATTTTTCATCCGGGTTTAAAATGAGCATTTCTGGACATTTTAGAAATAATAATAACAGGACTGAACTCTTTGCAATTAAAGGCATACAGTATTGTGGTCATTTTTACCACATCATCAGGAAGGAGAGCTTTACCAATGGGAGGCAGGGACAGACAGAGGGAAGGAAGGATCACCTTAGAGGGAGAAAAAAATCTTATAGTAAAGACTGACACATATATAATCATGCAAAATTTTGTGGATGGTACAGCTGATGAAGCTGATTTTATTTCATGAGACTAATCCCTCTGGAAACAGAATTGACATTGGGATTGGGGACTGTAGACTGAACTGTACTGTCTCCTTATTTCAAATATGAAATTATACCTTCATGAAACATCTCTAGCACAGCTAGTGCTTGCTTTGTAAAATCCCTGTGAGGTGGAAGGTGAACGCAGAATATATTGTAAGATAAAAAGATTGTTGTAACTATGATATCGCCTCTTGTTATAAACATTACTACTGAAATACAGAGGCAGAAAAACCAAACGAGCTTCTTGGTCTTGGTTTACAGCATTAATATTAGTTGATCATTTTTTCAGCGTTTCAATTAATTCAGATATATAATGTATACACGTTTCAGACAGCCAGTCCGGTGTCGTGATTAAGGCATCAGACTAGAAACCAGGAGATGGTGAGTTCTAGTCCCGCCTTAGGCACGAAGCCAGCTGGCCGACCTTGGGCCAGTCACACTCAGCCCTGGGAAGGAGGCAATGGCAAACCACTTCTGAAATCTTGCCAAGAAAACTGCAGGGACTTGTTAAGGCAGTTGCCAGGAGTCAAGGCTGACTCGAAGGCACTGTATGTGTGTATACATGTGGACTTATTGAATGAATTTAGCTGCTTTGTAGGCTAAAAACAGATCAATTCCTATGGTTTAAGCTAAAATGTTGTGGGTCAATTATCAATCCTTATTTTAAAAATGATGATGACAACAGCCAACTTAACAGTGCAATGACTCTGAGAAAGTGGTCTAGTAAGAGCTGACTTCAACTCTGTACTTGGATAAGGGAGGCCTGTCAAGCAGACATTCATTTGGATAAAAATATTCTTCCCATTTGCCTCTAACAGCAGTGCAAACTTGTCCAGGCATTTTTTTTTCTTGTATGACCCCTTGATATTGCCTTTATCTCTTCTACAGCCCTTGAATGAGACAGGCTTACATCATGCTTAGTTGTACCTGTGTTAAAGTAGTTTTACCACCGTAACAGGACATCATGCCAGGACAATTTCAAGGTGTATAAAATCTGTTAGGCTTTGTCACCCATTACCTTGGAAAGAAGTCAAGTGACCAACAATGACGGGAAACAGAGTTGATAAAAGCAAGATAGGGGCTGGCAGTGGGGACAGCAAAGTTCACGGTGATGGTTTTCTGATTCAAGAATGGATGGGGAGCACTTTAATTCAGCTGCCTTAAGTCCTATTAGCTTGGCTAACTATGTGCTTGATCTTCATGTGTTCAAATGAGCCACATATAGAGCCTACGTGTTCTCACCCAAAGGCCCACAGGCTGTACTACCTACCAGCTAATATATTAAGAAATAGAATGCTTTATTTTGAAGGTTATAAATATTTTGCAGATCTAGTGCTTTTCAGTGGCTATGGCGCATATCTGAGGTTGAGGTGGTGCAATCAGCCTCTGTCAGCCTGTCATGCATTCATCTGAATCCAATAAATATATTATCAGGGCTTATGGTTGCAGCAGATTACACAACTCTAGTTGGAGAATAAAGCTTTAGAGAATACTTATATGAAGAAAATGTCTCTCCCGACAATCCAATGAGTATGGTCCTGGGCACAGAACAATTCAAGAAAAATAGAGAATGCTTAGCTGATTTTCAAGATCAGCAAAATTTAAGTTAGCTTTGCTTATTTTTTTGCTTTTGGAGATCATCCAAGATTGGCTAGGTCCTGCTGTGGCTCTGGACATGTCCATGAAGTTTTCTTTATAAAAATATGGGTTTGCCATTGCCTTCCCTCAGGATGTCTTTTCAATTTACTAATCTAGCCTACCAATGTGGGGTTCCTTGTGGTCTTTTATCCAAGTACTAACCAAATCCAATCATGCTTAGCCTTTCAAGATCAGCCAAAGGCATTTGGTTACCATGTTACAGCATGCCATCAATTTCTCTCCATTCACTCATGACAGCTAAGTCAAATCAAATCAATCTTTATCATGGTCATAAATCAACATAAAGGACAACTAAAAGTATCTCTTAAACAAATTATTACAGTTTGTTCATAACATCCATAATTCATGTAATATTTGGAATTTGCTGTGTACCCCCTGTATAGCTCAGATGACTTTCAAGAAAGTTGGTACAGGTTATTTTGTCCTCACAAAAATTGTGTCCAAAAGACAGGACACAATCCACCTGAGGTTGATGTATCTCACTGATGAACTCATCTCTACTCTAATCTCATAAATTTACAACTCCAAACTATGCATTTTATATAAAAGTAATTTTCATTATACCTGCCTTGGCCTCAAGAAAAAAAAATCCCAAATCCATATCAGTCAGTACTTTTATTAGGCCAATGAGTAAACATATTGCCACATTGAATATTGCAGTAGGGCTAATAAAGGAATTGCCTTAACATGGTATTATTCGTTGCTTTCTTCCAAGGGTGCATAGCATTATATTTATATAACTATCCATGAAGTATGTTTACCCCATAGGCTCTACTAAACTTTTAGTCCTGCAAGCTTTAGCAGTTAAGAGACTAAGCGTTGAAAGCTATAATTAACATTCATGAAAATAAAAAAATAAGCAGAAAAACCAATATTTCTTTTGCGCATCATGCTATTTTACTCATTTTTAACACATTGATATGGTTCCAATATGATGCCATGGGAGAGAATGAAAAAGGAAATTGTAATAGTCTTCTCTTCAAATGAATAATACGTATGAATAAGAATATAGGGACAAATATGTTCTCCAGCAACTGTTAAAAGGACGCATGTTGATCTTATTCCAATTGAGCATGTTTAAGGTGAATTTGCAATCTTATTATATATTCCACTCATTTCCTGTAGTCTTAATTTGCATATTCAGATTTGAATCACTGGTTAATTAGTAATAATTTAATAATGAATAATAATTTATTACATTATTTGCTGCCTGACTCCCAGCAACTCTGGACAGTTTGCAATTGTTAAAACATTTAAAAAACAGAGAGCAATATAAAAAACACAAAAACAGCACAAGACAAAGGAACGACAACAAAGAAAATAAACCCAGAGGACAACAGAAAGGAAAAAAGAGGTATCAATAATTTTAATTGATTAAAACAACCTCCCAAGCTTGATTCCTTCCAAGTGGATTGGATTAATGTGATCAGCATTGTAGGCCAACTCAGTTGGTGATGCTGGACTGGGAATATTGTTCAAATTCAACAAGTTTATTATTTATGTAGTATATCACAATTATATGTATATAATTCTCCCTTGATATCAGTGACCTAAGACTCTCTTTGTCATGGGCATCTGTGGGGGCAGCAGGCAAGTGACAAAACAAATATGACAACATTAGCAAACAAATGCCACTACTTACGTCTTTGTGTCAGATGTTGGGACACAAGAGAAGCATTTGCATAATGAGATCACTATGCATGTATTGCCATTTTGGTGTCATTGGGGTTTGCTGTAATGCTACTGCTCTTGACCTTGAGATCTTTGGAAATTGTTCATTGAGAGTCATTGCCAAATGAGAGGTGGTAGAAGTTATGGGAGACAGAACTTTTTCAGGGGAGGTAAATTTGGCATGGGATTCTCTTCCTAAAAAGCCTCACTGGGCACAGGTTAGTTTAACCTCTTTTCCTTTCCCCTAAGCTGTGATTTTGTACTGTTATACTTTTAATATTCTTGGAAAAATTGTTCTATTTAGTTCAATGTTTACATGCAGTTACTCTTAATGGACAATAAACCTCCTTTGTATTTTTTTTTAAATTCAGTGATGAGCTTTTAGAGCTTAAGCAAAAGTTTTTGGCTGAGAGAAGCTGTTTAAGCTGGCTGCAGTTTGTAGCTGAAAATAAGGCTCTAAAATAAGGAACGGAAATCTGTGAATCCACGTCAGATGGAGCTAAACATGGCACTTGGAGTGATTCTAGAAGGGAAAGAGATGGGAAGAATTCCCTCTGCTCTCTTTTCTCACTTTACATGGCTAAAGAATTCAATCAGGATAAAAAA